AGAATCTTCAACAAATAATTCAATAGGCAGGGATTCTTTGAAAGGACAATGGTTAGTAGCAGTTAAGTGGAGTTATCTCCGTAAACACCAAAAGTAGCAAACTTATATCAATGAAATGAATTCAACGGATAAAGGTAGAATTGAGGTCCTAAGGGAAATGAGAAAGTTATATTGCTTGAACGAAAAAATGAACTGAAGAGATGCAATAGTGCTATATTTACAGGAGGAAAAAAATAGACTGCAGCTGCTCCTAACCTATGATTTTAGATTAGACAACTGTTTGCTGTAATCTACATGTTACTAATCACAATTATTTTAGCTCTTACTGGACCCAAATGATCCTAGCTCACCAAAGGTATGCACAGCCGTCAAACGATGTGGGATCCGGAATCTATCGGGAGAACACTGTTAAACTTGCAATTTGGTGTTCCAGAATTGATGGCCGCATGTATACTCTAGCAGTCGAAACTGGCAAAAAGGGAAAATGCCTCAAAACTATTTTCAAAGGCTATTTTGCGAGGCACAGAGGTACTGTGGAATTTTTTCGCATACCTTGCCCATATTTTTGACCTCCTCACGAAGGCCATAGAAGATAAAGTATCACCAATTATGAACACGGCGTTAATTCAAGAGGACGAATACTAATTAGATAAAGACAGATACGGCGATGTGGATAACATACCCAAACATTAGAGGACTTTAACAGGGTCAGATATTCGCAATTGTTTTCGTCGTAAATGGGACTAATTGCGCCAACTCCCATATACGGCGCAGTCATACCTACCAAACTGATGAAGAAAACGGTACTTCACACTGAGTCTCTCTAGATGCAAAATGCACGAATTGCTGATCCTCATTCGAAGGCTGTAAAATCGAAAAATGCCACCACGAAATGTTTACATCTTTGATCATGACGCTTTTTTGGATAAACCTTATCAGTTGCCTCAATTCAAATAAAGCGAAAATGAGTCTGAGTAGAGGTTAATCAAACTAAGGTAGTGACACACACTATAGACTATAGATATCACAACAGACTAAGCAAAAATTATACGAGCGTAAGCTGACGTACTAAAGCGATCTCGTCCAGCAGTGCATCTACCAGCTGATTTTTCGTATCAAGACGAAGACGGAAACGGTTGGATGAAAGGACTTCGGAGACAGACCCAAGAGAATATCCCTCTCGATGTGAAAACAGGACCCGATCACCCGTACGAACTTCTTTAGGTCTGCGGGAGGCAGCCCTTGTAAGTTTCTCAGAAATAGCCATAGAATATAACTACAAAGAAAATAAAAGACCAAAGTTGGACAAAGTAAGGAACGATTAATATTACAGATGAGCAAAATGTTAAGCCTTTCAAAAGTTTTCTATCCAACAATTGCTTTACGTAATGTTGACTGGGCCGAAACCGGTGCATCATAACAAATGGTATCTGCACACAAGTAATAGTAGGACAAATAATGTCCGGGTAAGTAAGTTGCTGAAGGCAAAGCATGCTTCTAAGCTTATTGTAGATAACAGACGGAGGGACATAGTGGTGCATTCTTTTGTTCGAAAAATATTATTTGGTAGAAGTATAACAGCTGAATTTGGGCATATCACTTATAAAAAAAATACCAAGAAATTATTTTGCATACTCCACAAAAACCTAGCCACAATCTTAAAATTAATATGTATTACAAAGAAGGATATCGACCTGATAACATAAGTGCATCCTGAAGACCTACCTTTGAGAGAATCGCTGACAACATATCAAATGTCCCTCTAGTTCTGATCCAGTTTCTGACATTAATAAAGGTGGATGCGGTGTTGCCTAATTGTGCAAGAATGCTTTCGGCTGCACTTCGTAAGTGGGGATCCAAAACCTGATTTATTTCTTCCATATTAAGTGGTGATTCTGGAGATATGGGGATGGAGCGTAAGGAAAACTCCATTGTATCATTCGACGGCTCGACATCCAAAACAAGACATTCAGACGCCGAAGAATTGATAAGCGATACTAACTGTTCTAAGGAATGTTCATTGACGTGCGACCCAAGGACTGAGAGAAGGACATCACCGGGAATAAGACCAGACGAAAATCCAGTGGATCCAGGTTCAGCGTAAATTTTCTGATAATGGAGAAAATGCCTTGAGCGAAGATAATCGAAGTGCGCTCACGCATAGAAGCAAATCCACAAAATTTAACTGATATACGCTTTTATCTTCTATGAAAGTAAGTATTCGATGAGGTTTTATCAATGTGGCAACAATTTTAATTTATATCGTTACAAATAATCGATGGATAATTGTATGGCTAATTTCGCATAAAAAAATTGTTGGAACAAATCCTATTACGGTATAAAATCAAATTAATGGTTGGCAAAAGGAAAAAATAAGTACAGCATTTATGACAGTCAGAGAAGGATAGATTTAAATAGAAGAAATAAAAATCATCAAATACCAGGACCCAGACTCTCGTATTGCTCGTTCATACGTTTCTATAATTTTCGATCACAAAAGTCAAGACCGATGATTTGTACAGTTATTTCGGACAGATTCCTCCCCAATGAATCGGTTTAACTCGGTCGGCCGAAAAAATATTTAACGGTTTACATTTAGATTTTCGACCGACACAAGTACGAGAAAATTTACTGACGTTTCAATATATACATTAGAAAACCTTATGCAGTAAATTGGCCGCGCACTATCTGCTTTCACGACCAACAGTTAGACCCCGAAGACCACCACG